GGGGCCGGGCCGGTAGATGTCGTACTCCAGTCTCTATTTGGCGGCTTCCGTTCCTTGGAGTCTGGATCCATGGCTGTCTGGGAGCTGCGAACCGGCGGGCCAAGAACCATTGGAAGGCCAAGGCAAGGAGGAACTTTACGACAACAACAGCCAGAATGAAGATGAGAGAGATGTAGAGCACGACCTTGGAGGCGATACATCCGACGGTTTCGGTGTCGATTGAACCAACCTTGATGATCTGGGTCAGGCACTTGAACATCCTCTTCTCCGGGCCGGTCTGAAAACGGTGGGTGACATCGATGCCGCGCAGTTCCTCACTCTCACGGAGCTGGTCGAAGCGAGACGGGTAGGAAACCTGGCTGGTGTTGAACCACTTGAGCAGGTCGAGGTCGAGAACGTTCCCGGAGTAGACGAGCAAGTTTCTGCTCTTGTTCTTGAGGTCGTCCCAAGAGAAGTAGACTTCGCCAGTTGTGCGGAGATCGTAAAAGGCGTCTCGAGCAGCGGCGGAGGTATGGCACTTGTATCCGAGGTACTCTGGCGTGGTGAAGTTGGGCTTAGTTGAGCCGTCCTGGTTAAAGGTGACGCAGGGGAAATACCATCCCATGTCACCGTCGCTGTTGGAAGGGATATCAGAACCCTCCTTGGGGGTAATCATGCCCTTGCAGGCGCCATTGACGTTCTGGAAGAGAAAGCTACCGTCCTGGCCGCCGTATCCGTCACCGGAGAAGACAACGACAGAGGCGTCGGGCAGACCGAGCACGGCTGGGTGTCGGGAGTTGGCGAGGTTGATGGCGCGTCCGTGGAAGATCATGTAACCCTGGTCGACCTCGTTGACCTTGAGACGCACGGGAGGAGCCGCACAGACGACCTGGGTGAATCCGAAGGTGAGGAAACCGACGAAGCCGCAGATGAGCAGGATCAGACTGATGAGGCCCATCTTCTCTCTCCAGGCTCTCCGCTGAGCCTTGGCCGGCATGCCAAAGCACTTGAGGATAAAGTCTGGGGCCCAGAAGGTGATCATGCCGCAGTAGACATTCCACAAGCTGGGGGGCTTGATGTTGTCCATCTCCTGCTGGCGCCTCTTCTCCTCCAGCCGGCGTTCCTCCTTGGTCGACTTGGAGGCCTTGCGAGAGAGCTTCCGCTGCATACGGCGGTGGGAGTCGGACTGCCTGCTGTCGGCGGCCGCGGGGGGGCGGGGGGACGGGGTTGGTGCGCCCCCCGTGGTGGAAGGGACCGAGTTGACATCGATGCTGGGGTTCCGCTCGAGACTGGTGGTGTTTCTCTCGGGCTTGGTGATGCTCTTGAGCCCCGTGCTGCCGGAGCTTATGGTCTCAGAGGTATCGACGAGCTCAGGGGCTCCGGCCTCCTCGTAGACGGGGTCGTTGCCCGTGGTGGACGGGTAGACAGACATGTTCTGGGCATGCTGGCGGTAGTGGTAGTTTGGATGGTCACGGCTGATCCTATGGCGCTCTGGACGGATGAGACTGCGCTTGCGACCGAGCTCGCCGGCGGGCGTGGGCGAGGGCGAGGGACTGGGGGACTCGATGTCAGGCCGCCGGCGCTGGTAGGAGTCGCGGAAGGACGGCTGGCTGGGCGAGGACGAGGACGCCCCTGGCCGCTGCGGGAGGGACATCTATATATCCAGCGGTCTCATCCACTCGACCATGTACGGAGAATCGCTGCCGTCGCTGCTGTTGTGTCTCTGCTGCTGGTGTATAATATCGATGGTAGTCGTGGTGATAGGGGGTCGTCGAGGCGGATAACGAGCGGCGGCGGGCAGACAGACACACAGAGGGCGCTAAGCGGGCATCAGCAGCTCCGACGAGCACTGGCGAGTCTCTCTCTGTTGACTATAATCGTCTAGCAGGCGTCGACTGTCTTTTTCTCGCCGTCTTTGCTGTCTTTGCTGGCTTTTTCGTCCTTTTGTTGATGTTTGAAAACCGAAAAAAAAGAAAAAAAAAGAAAGACAAAAGGAAAAGTCACGTGAGCTGTTTGCCAGGCAACGAAGATAGAGTTTAGCGGTATCGAGGTTACACAAGTTTACCGGCAAAAAGGGGCAACTTGGGTGGAGCCGGTAATTACATTACATACAGAGGCCTCCTTTTAGCACTTTTAATAACACTTTTATTACGCCAGCAAGGGGGGAGAAGTTGATATCACAGAAAAGCAGGCGAAAGAGAACAAAATAAAGAGATAAAAGAGAGTCAAAAGGCAGAGAAGAGGCCTGCAGGGCGGCTGGCGCAGGCTAGTAATGGCCTGACAAGTGCCCAAGTCCGGGCGGGCAGCAGAGCGAGCGCTGGCGGAAGAAGAAAAAGGGGCTTCGCCTTGCGTGTCTCAGATCTATATAGAAGCCGGCTGAGATGAAGACGCTGAAGAAGTAAACATTAACAATGACAGCAAAGGAATGATAGGAATGATAGGATGATAGGATGATAGGATGATAGGATGATAGGATGATAGAATGATAGAATGATAGAGATATAGAGAAAAGAGAGACGTTCATGAGTGCTCGCTACGCCTAAGCGAGTTCCCCATGCAAAGCGCTGCCCCGGCTCTAATAATAACTACGACAAGACGCCAGAGAGTCAAGCGTACGCAGCAGTTGAGCTAGTCAAGGCTCGTCCTGACGTCTGGTTTATGCATGTTGCGCTGCCTCGTATATCAAAGTCGCCAGCTTAGCCGTCGAGCCCGCGAGCCTCATCCTCAGCCACCGTCCAAACATCGGCGCCTTTGCTGGCCATCTCTGCGTCTCTCAAGCGTCCCTCGTTCAGCTGCTCGTCCGCTGCTCTCTGGCTTTGTTCAGCTTCCTCTCGCTTAGCTGCTCTGCTCGCTCGCTAGTCCGTGGCTGCTGGCATTCCGTCCTGCCTCAATCCTGCGCTGCGTCCTCCATCCATCATCCCGTGGAGCAGTTGGATCTCTGCTTTGCGTCAGAAAACTCCACCAGGAAGAAGAACAGAAAAAAATAAGTCCTTCGCTCAGTCGTCTCTCCCTTTTCCTCGTCGTCGTCGTCGTCGTCGTCTTCTTCTTCTCCCGCTCGTTTGGCCGTCATGGTCTGTTTCTCGCTGCATTGAAAAAGAGAGCGCTGTAGGCACAACCTCCTGCCCCCCTCCTGTGGTCTCGAGTCTCGTCTCGTCTGTTGCTAGTAACTACCCGCTGGCTGACTCCGGGGCCACGACAGGTCGCTGACGAAAGAGCACCTTGCTGCATAACTTCCGGAAAACTAGGCTGAGGGTTGGCCACCGGAGGAGAGCAGCTTGCTGCTGTCTGCTTAAATACCTATATCAGGACCCGCCGGGAGGTGCTGCTGGCCTGGGTTATCGACGAGGAGCCTGAGACACCGATCAGAGACAGCAAAGACATGGGCAGCCAGCAGCCTCCCCTCTCGCCGCCGCTGCCAGTCTACCTACGATCTACGCCTACGAGAAAGGAGCTCCCGGGGAACGCTCAGCACGGCAGCGTTGCCATGCACGGAGGGCCCGTCTCGCCCGCGAGGGCAGACCAGTCCTCCAGCGCAGAGATGGGCCATCACCAGCAACATCAACACCAACATCAACATCAACATCAACATCAGCAACAACACCAACATCAGCAACAACAACAACGGACAGACAGCCCACGGTCAGACAGGCAGTCGGAGGGCCAGCCAGATGCGCAGTCAGAGGCCCGGCACAGCGACGAGAGCGCCGCCGAGAGCATCATCGAGCCCTACCAGCCGCTCCAGTACCATCACCAGCCCTTCCATGGCCACGTCCGCAGCGCCAGTGCCAGCGCCAGCATCTCCTCGCGCTCCTCCAGCAACAGAAACGCCCACGGAGCAGACCATCTCGGCGTCCCCCATGCTCACAGGCGCTCGCCGAACGCCCGTGCAGTCAGCTCGCACTCCCAGGCTGACCTGCGGCCGCTCTCCTTTGTTGACCTGCTCAACGTCCCCTATCCGCAGCCCCCACCGGCGCCCAATGCGCTCAACAACGCCTATCTGCGCTCCGCCGTGGGCAACAATGCCTCGCTGCTCTCCCAGAAGCAGACGTTTGACATGTACTTGGCCAACGTCAAGAAGACCAATGACCCCGGCGCCCAGTACGAATTTGCCGTCTTCATGATCCACGCAGCCCAGGACATCGATCTAGACGAGTCGCAATCTTCCTCAAATAACAACAACGGTAATACCAACAGCGGCAATAACAATAACAGCACAGACAAAAGAGAAACTTCCAGGGCAGAGCTGCTACGGGAAGCAAAGGGCATCCTGCAACGTCTTGCTGACCGGAGCTATCCTTACGCTCAATACTACCTTGGCGATGGGCTGGCTTCCGGCCTCTTCAACAAAGGAAAACCAGACCACGACAAGGCATTCCAACTTTTCGTCGCTGCAAGCAAACATGGCCATGCAGAAGCCGGTTATCGTGCTGCTCTCTGCTACGAGTTTGGCTGGGGAACCAAGCAGGACGGCGCAAAGGCAGTCCAGTTCTACCGCCAGGCCGCTTCTAAAAACCATCCAGGCGCCATGGCAAGGCTAGGAAGGGCCTGTCTGGCTGGAGACATGGGGCTGGTCAAGAGATACCGCGAGGGCATCACCTGGCTCAAACGGGCTGCTGAATCTGCTGATGTTCAGTACAATGCTGCGCCTTACGAGCTGGGACTGCTGCACGAGGTCGGATATGGCGACGATGTGTTCCAGGACGAATCATACGCTGCTCAGCTTTTCACCAAAAGCGCTGAACTGGGCCATGCGGAGGCCAGCTATCGTATGGGCGACGCGTATGAGCATGGAAAGCTCAATTGTCCTCGAGACCCGGCGTTGAGCGTCCATTTCTATACGGGAGCTGCGCAATTAGGCCACCCCATGGCCATGATGGCATTGTGTGCCTGGTTCATGGTTGGTGCTGAACCCATTCTTGAAAAGGATGAGAATGAGTCCTATGAATGGGCCAGACGGGCAGCCGAATGTGGTATGTCTCTATGTTCCCCCTTGTCGCTTATATACATAGTAACCCCTGATATTAACTGGCATTGCTTCTAGGGCTTGCCAAAGCTGAATATGCAGTTGGCTACTTCACGGAAATGGGCATTGGATGTCGTCGTGATCCCCTCGAGGCCAATGTATGGTATGTCCGCGCCGCTGATCATGGCGACGAGAGGGCAAAGCATCGTATAGCTGCCATCAGAGCGGCTGCCTCAGGGGCTGACCCTAACTCTGCTGCCTCCCGTCGTCTCCAGAAAAATGGTACATCTCGCCCATATTCTTCTCTATACCTAAACTACATGCACGTACTAACAAGGTATCTATCAGGGGAAAAACCAAAGACTAAACGATTCGGCCTTTTCTGATTTATTTATGTTCACATCTTCTTCCCACTCCTATTTCTCAGCGCGCATCTGCATCTCACTCTCCTTACTAGATACTCCCTTTTTTTACCTCCATCACTCCCTCTTATCTCTCTCTTTTACTCCTTTGGCTCTACATCCTCACCATCTACCTTCAAGGGTAACGATTTCTCTTGCGTAATAGCTTAATACCACCTATACCTCCACCCACACTCGCGCTCCGACATATACCTATATGCATGCATTGCACAGTTGGTCTTGCTATCGATATATATATCAGCCATCATGCGCCCTGGACAGGCTAGCTTTTCTTTTCTTCTTTTACTTTGACTTCTGTCTTCTGCCTTTTCCCTATCTGTCTGGACTCTCCGTCTATTGTTTCCAGTCCTTGCATATACACATTTTGTCCTACGTTGGGCCTTGCTTGTCTCGTCTTTTTGCATAGTCTACCCGGGGATATTCGACCCTATCCATCCCCCATATTTTTGTCTCTACCTCCCAGAAGAAAGACTGGATTTGGCTTTAGCAGTAATGAATTGGTTTGGTTTTCCTGATGCAGTGCGAAAATATACCGCTGTTGGTACTTTGAATCGAGAGTGTCTTCGTTATATTATTTATATACATGTCATCAATTATTATGTTCACCCATAGCATCAACGCCATCTATAGCATTCCCTCTTGAAACGCAATAGCCACCCTCCCGTAGCCATAACCATGGCTGTACCCAAACAAAAGGGAAAAGAAGAAACAAAAAGCGTTCATCAAGCCTTCTGAGATGGAGTGACACCCGTCTCAACCGTCGCATTGCGATCCTTTTTCTCAACCAGCGTCTGCTCCGAATCGATCCCCTGATTCAAGTCATACGAGGCAGTAAATACGCTCAACAACCCTCCAACAGCCAGAAGCACACAGCAGACGATCCAGACAAACCTCAAACTGCCCGTAAACGCCTCCTTGAGATGCATCTTCTGCGGACCCTCAGGCATCCCTCGAACCACTTGCACCAACACAGCGGCATCCTTGCTCAGCTTCTCCGCAAGGCCCGGCGCAGAAAACTCAGGATACTTCCTCAACTTGGCCACCATGCGGTTCTGGAAGATGACGCCGCCAATAGCAACGCCAATGGCTTGACCGAAGGCACGGAAGAAGCTGAACATCGCTACGGCCATGGACATATGGCCCTTGAGCGCGGAGGCCTGGATAGCGAAACCAAGGCCCGGGAAAAGCATGCCTAATCCCACGCCGGCGGGGAGCATGAGGAAGATCCATGCTGGAACGCTGCTGTCTACCTTTAGAATGGCAAGCAGGCCCATTCCCAGCGTGCTGAGGAAGAAGCCCATCCAGATTGACCAGCGGTATTTGCCCGTTAGAGTGGTGATGACGCCTACTACGACGGCACTAGGGGCGACAGTGAAGCTGAGCGGGAAAAGAGCGACGCCGGATAGGATGGGCGAGTATTCCTTGACTGTCTCGAAGTAAAGAGGCAAGTAGTAGAGACCGCACCAGAGAACGAGACCATGTAGTACCGTCTCGATGTACGACACGACAGCGGTTCGAGTAGCAAACACGGTAACGGGAATCATGGGATCAGCCGCGAAGTACGTCTCATAGAACATGAATCCAATCAGTCCTGCAATGCCCAGTATCAAGGGCACCAGAGTCCGCCAGGAGCTCCAGTCGTACATGACTCCTCCCCAAGTAACGGGGATGAGAAAGGAAACCGCAGAGGCAATGAACAGCGCTGAACCGATATAGTCTATCCTGCGTAACTTCGTGGCCAACGAGTCCGGGATACGGGTAAGCTTGAAGAAGAGGATGATAAATATCAAGCTGATGCCCACGAAGGGGAAGTTGATGTAAAAGATCCATCGCCAGGAGACGTTCTGTGAGAATCCGCCGCCCAACACAGGGCCCAGCACTGATCCCAAACTCCACATCGAGCTCAGGATGCCGAAGTACTTCCCCCGTTCGCGCATGGGGATCAGATCCGTGACCACGATTTCCGTCAGGGCGATGATGCCGCCGCCTCCGACGCCCTGGATGGATCGACCGACCAGCATCTGGGTGAAGTTGTTTGACAGGCCAGAGACAAGAGTGCCGACGAAGAAGAACGTCAGTGCAATCAGCGTCATGGGTTTGCGGCCGAAGATGTTTGAAAACGACGCAAAGCTGGGTTGGAAGACTGTTTGATCGGTTGTTAGCTTGACAACGGGGGTTGGATATCGGGTTTTAGGCGGTCCAACCTGTTGAGCAGAGGAGGAACGAGGTCCCGCTCCAGAAGGCCTCGATGGCCGATCCATGTAGTTTAGAAGCAATTATCTAGTATCAGAACAGTCAGTTTAGGTGGTTCCATGAACAGGGCATGTTAAGCAGTGTTTATGCGTACAGGCAAGGCAACGGATATAGACGTCCCATCGAGGGCCACCATCAGCGTCAACACAGACAGCGTCAGGAAGATGAGCCATGTCCGCTTCGAGGGACGGAATTCTTCTATCTCGGTATGCGAGCTGGCAGAGGATGAGACTCCTGACTGCTGCGGGCCGTTCTGGCCTCCTGCTTCAACTGCAGTGCTCATGCTGGCCAGATTGATATCCGCTTTGATGAGAGGGGGTATATAGTTGTCGGAAAAAGCCAGAGATCGCAGCAAGAGATGAATTATATACATGTTTATATACGTATATATATATATATCCAGCATCTGATAGCTATGCCATCGGGGAAGCGAGACTGCGGGTTCCGACATCCACCCGACCCGCAGGAGAAACAAGAACAGGACTGAACAGGCCCAGGTCGACTGTTGCTCCATCCCGTCAAGCCTTGATACTAAGGAACTCGTCATAGCCAGATCCACAGGGTCCAAAACGGTCGTTATCAAAAAAATTTTACGAGCTGAGGCCATACTTAGATGTGAGCATAACGTGAAGCACGGAGGCTATACGATGATGCGAGGGAGGCCGTCGTCGACAGTGGATAACTATCAGCCAGGCAGCTATATTTCAAGCTCCCGGCCCAACGCCATCGGAGGGACGAGGAGGGACCTGTCATGAGCTGATAGCAACCAAGCAGCGAAGCTCGTCCGCTGCTGTCTTGCTATTGTTGGCCCACAGGGGGGTGCCCAGGGCTTAGCAACGACCGGAAGAACCAGTTGAGCCGCAGATCCGACGGCCTCAAGTTGCTCCGTCGGTGGAAAAGCCATGGAACTGACGAAACATCGAGAAGGTCAGTGACCATTGGTCCTGATGACGTCTGAGGTTGAAAATGTACGTTGAGTATACGCTGGGCGCAATATCAGGCTGGTCAGCTGGGAGGCTCCAGTTTAGGAGATCATCAAGACCATGAGATACCATGAAATATCAGCCAGACTATCGGTTGCTTGGAATTGGAATTCAGAAAAGGAAATTCTTGACATGGATTAAAAGTGAACACGGCTGTTGCGTATATGAAATACAACTCCCTCCGATCCAACTCACTCCAAACATAAACTATTCCACAAAGCGGCCAGGGGCATTTGAACAAGAGAAGAAAAAGACGAAGCGAGAAAGGGAGTAACAGAGACAGGAGAAGGTAGGTCGTGCCTCGCAGTCGAGAAAACGGGAAAATGGTGCGAGACTTGACACCCAGGGGGGCGAAGAGAGAAAGGGGTCAATAATAGAGTAAAAAGGTGATAACGCGGAAACGGAATTGAAGTGAAATGCGTCGGGTCTAGCTAGATGCTAACTTTACATGGACTTGAAGACATCGATACATCCCCAGTGCTGCTCGACTCCGAATTGGCCGGGATCCTTCCAGGCATCATCAACGAAGGAGAAGAAGATAGATTCAGGTCCGACTTCCTTGACGAGAGACTCGATGGCTTCCTTCTGCTGTGATACACCAGGAATAGCGAGGTTGTTAGGGTTACCCTGTTTAGGCCAGCCAGTTTCGAGGTTGAAGACTTGCTTGCCTGGGCAAATCTTGGAGAGAAGCTCCATCTGGCTGCGGACGAAGCTGCCACATTTGTCGGCGGTGACATCAGGGTTGAAGAAGCAGTGGATATTGGCACCAAGGACATCAATTGCGCTGCAAAGGGTAGAACCACTGACTTGCCAGACGTTGACGGTCTCAGTGGTGGTGACCATGCCGTTATAGCCAGCACTCTTGAAGGTGGCCTTGGCTGAGAGGATGAATCCGGCGAGAGCACCAGCATCAGTGCGACCAGACTGGACGGACTCGTTACCGACGACAATGAGTGTGACCAATTCCCACTGTGCCCAGCTGGTGATGTCTGTGACCTGCTTACCAGCTCCTCCAATACCAGTCTCAGAGATGAAGACGCCAATGATCATCTTGAGGCCGTGGGCCTTGCAGGCATCACCAACGTTCTTGAGGCCATCGCAGTCAGTGGAGTAGAGGCGGATGGCAGTGAAACCGGCCTGCTTGATGGTGGAAATATCCATCATGACAGTACCGGCATCCTTGCACTGGCCATTGTTGGAGTAAGGAGAGTAGGTCATGCCACCAGTTTTACCTCCACCGAGACCACCGCTTGGCTTAGGAGCCGGGGCCTGGGAAGAAGTTGGGGCCTTTGGTGGTTCAGGAGCCTTTGGTGGTTCAGGAGCCTTTGGTGGTCCAGGGGCCTTTGGTGGTTCAGGGGCCTTGCTGGTTGGGGCCTGGGGAGGCGGGGATGGCTCAGCGGGAGTAGGAGCTGGGGTCGTGGTTGGTGGTGGTGGTGGCGGTGGTGGTGCCGGGTGAGTGTTGGTTGGAGCAGGGCAAGTGAAGATTTGCTTGGTGACAGTGACCGTCACGACCGTGCCAGACTGAGTATAGGTGCCTGGTTGGATAACGGTGGGATTTGGGCATGGGGGAGCACCGCTGGTAATAGGGCCTGTTGGCGCGCTGGAAGGAGATGAAGGACAGACGGTTGCACTGGTGGAAACAGTGTAGGTGGTTGGGGCAATGGTGTAAGTTCCTGGAGTCGGGTAGACGATAATGATATCAGTTGGCAGTTGGGGAGTTTCGGAGGAGCTAGGAGCTGGAGAGGAAGCAGGAACAGTGGTATTGACAGTCACGGTGGTGTAGCTGGTCGACTGGACGGTGGTGGTCGTTTCAATCGGCGTTGGTGTGGGTGTTGGTGTCGGGAAGACGACTTAATACCATCCCGAGTTAGCAGGAAATCTTTGCAATCAACACTCGCGATAGAGACGGCCCATCAATGACCATTGCCATTCATCGATCAAGGGGAAAACATACGGGTTGGAGGTCCGTAGAAAAAGACGACCTTGGTTTCACAGAAGCAGGTCTCCTGAGGATTTGGAACAGCGCGGCGATGGAATTTGCCATGGCCATGGGCATGAGGGCTGGCGACAGCTGAGCCGAGCAGGCCAGCGGCCGCAATAAACAAGGAAGACTTCATATCTCTCCTCTATCGATTCTTCTCCAGTGGCGGCGGGGAGGCGTTCGTTCTTTTTTTCTCTGGCTGGCGGCTGGCTGGAGGGAAAACGCAGACGATAGAGAGCGTTGGATAGTCGTTAAAGAATGCCCGCTGAAAGAGTGAAGCGGTGGTAGGCAAGGGAGAATCTCCTGGAGACGGAAACCGAGAGATATGAAGCAAACAGAAATGAAAGGGCTATGCGAGGGAGTGTTATATTAAGTACTCCTCTTCGCCGGGGACAAGGGCGCTGCCGAGTGGGAAAAAGGGGGCGTTGCACCGTGTGCGGAAATTGCACCTTCAAGCGTTCAACCCCCTTGGCGGGCCCTGCGCCAGTATATTTAGACCGATTGTTGGCAGCACACGAAGACCCCCCCCCCCCGGGCATGACCCGTCTCTCTTATTTCTGGCTGTCACCCCCGGCTGCGAATGGCTTCTAAACTTGTCTTCATGCTTTTCTGCCTTCGCCTTTGTCTCCGCGTCTTGCTCACTCCATCTTGCTGGTGCTGCGCGCGCCGTGGCCTCGTCTGCTCTGTTGATGTATTTTATTTATCGGTATTGAAAGTATATTCGAGAGGATCGTCCGAGCTGCTGCCCTGGGTGGCGGTGAGCCAGGTCCCTCGCCGCGCTCATTGGCTGCTAGAATGTGCTCGGCAGGGGCAGAACCAGCTGGCAACAACGCTACCGTCACGGGCGATACGCCTTGGGGAGATTTGATATGCAAGTCAGGGCCGACCAACTAAGATGAGCCACAACGTGGGATTTTCAAAAAGTGAGAGACCAAGCGTCATGTATAAGAAGGTCTCGCATACAGAGTATGCTCCTCGACAGGTCCTGATAATGGATGTCTTGTATCCTGCTCCGTAGCCGGTATAATGGCTGGTTAAGATGTCTTGGTCCCGGGATCTCTGTATTATTGACGGCGTAAAGGTAAAAATCCCTCCGTCAAAAGTATATTCGCCGTTCCTGCGTTTCACCAAGGGATAGGGGAGCAGAACAGAGGCAGGCAGACAGGCAGTCGAAGGATATCCCTGTCCGGACTTCCCTGCTAGGGCTGTCGCTGGCCTGCCCTATCTGGGTGTAGTGCTGCAAGGCCAGGCAACGGACGGGGGGTCCGCCTCGTGTCAAGCGCTATTTTTACCCTAATATCACCACGGAGATGCTCTCCTCGCTCTCATCCATGGCGTCTCGCAAGGGCTCTTGGAAAAGCCTCATGGGCTTGGGAGCCTCTCTTCTCGCCCAATGCAAAAATATCATTCGCTGCTCGTAGCCGTATTCCGTTCCTCGACGTGGCGTTTGTCACTCGCAGGTGCCTTCGTTTTGGGCGCCTTTGGTCGAAATTTGATGCATTCCACAGCACTCATTTGTTATTTTCTTTGCTTCTTCTCTTTTCTTTTGCACTGCAATTTCTTGCGGCTCTTGCGCCATATTTGCTCATAGTTACCCTTCTGCCCCTCGTTGGCTTGTTGGCAAGTCGAAGACGTTCAGGCATGTGTTTGTGTTGTCCTCCCTGGGTGGGCATTCCTTGCACACAAGTCACAGCACAGGAAGCGTCTGATACGTTGGCTAGCCGTCGTAACTGACAGTCCATACTCGGTATATAGCATCGCAGATCTCTCTTAGCTGGGCGTTTACGCCGAATGTTTTCTGTCAAACGAGGAGATCCCCAACTCCACCAGGCACATGTATTGATGTGCAAGATCGCATCGTATATGCTGACATTCTTGCCAACACTGGTGTGTGCACAGAAGGTAACCCCTGGATCTCCCAATCACATCTGCCGCTGATCAGATCGGATAACATGGAAACACCTCTTATGCCGCGGGAGAGTGCCGAAGTCAAGACAGAACATAATGCTTGATCTGACCCAGCAGGTTAACAGTGTACGGAGTATGCAATATCAAGCAACTTTCTTGCCGGTTATTTCTGGAAAGATGCAGAGATTTTTAAGCATGACGCCCTCTCTGTGCATATATATATGATACACCAATCCCTCCTGTTGGCAAATTAATCGGAGATTAATCACGATAGATTAATTGCTGACATCTGTTCCAAATCTCTGGGATTGTCGTCAGAATGTACATGGAACAGACCAACATCGGACGCTGCGTATCAGTGTTACAGCGATCTGGCTGATGCAAGCTGACTCGTCAAGGTAACGGAGTAGCCGTCCTCGCCTTGATACCCACGTTATTCGCTCGTTTCTGGTACTCGTGAGGCTGCCCATTAGCCAGGTTCTCTACCATCAGGGTAGTGTACGAGGCTGTTGGGGCCGTCAATTTATATGTGAATGGAGACACGTCTGTCCAGTATGCATGTTTATGCAAGGCGAGCGTCATGCCTAACCGCCGCGGTCCGGCCGGAGTCTGAGGCCATCGATGCGTGTCCATATAGAGCTTATTTATGGCCCGTCGTACTGAAAGGCGCGATATCACGGACGGTATAGTATCGACGATATCATGCATGATAATTCTAGTGTCGTAGTAGGTCAAAGTGAGCCGAGGGCTATGTGTCTGCTGCCAGCAGGGTCTTGGATGACTGTTGGTCACCTACAACCCCCGCCGTCACTCACAAGGCAGCCTTCTGGTAGATATACACCTATAACCATTAGGTATTGGGGCGTTAGTCCGCTTGCTGGCGCTCAAATAGAGAACGTTGACGTTGATGTTGACATTGATGTCGTTGATTTAAACTGCGTCCAACGCCAACTCTCCGACTTCACCGCCAACTATGCACCTAGAGTCGAGAATATATTCAATGACACAATGCATTGGCTGACAAAATATATCAATTACAGCATAAACAATAGTACATGGTTAGTTAAGCATAATAGAGACAAGACATCGAGATAATCAAAAAGACATTAAGACGGGAACCGAAGCAAGGTGAAGCAGAAGAAAGGAAGGCGAAGATGCCACGCCAGATACAATATCCATCCATGCCCACCAACCAGGTACTTAGATAAGTAAATGTACGTATGTTCGAGAGAGCGGAAAGAAACGAAGCAAAGAGCTTGCTTGGTTGTCTTTCCCGTCTCGATCAAAAGGAAGGGCGCCGGCGCCAGGGGGCCTGCCTTGGTGAAATGGTTAACTCCCCGGATATGCATTTAGTGAAGAGATATTCAAGAGAAACGGAGAAAATTAGATGGAATCATTAACAAGGTCAGTCAGGTGGGCTCGATGTAGATACTACTTTGAAGGCTCAGTATCAACGCCGCCCATTTCCTGGTCCTCGTCCGCCGGTTCTTCGCCTTTTACTTTGAGGCCAGCAGTGTCTTTCTCACGACTAGCCGATGAAGCAGACTTGTCATCAGATTTATGCTCAGCTGCGGTGTCGGAAGTGGCGACGGCCGGTGCCGTGTCCTCTGCAACGGCACCAACCCAAGTCCTGAACTGCTGGTTTGACTTGTCGACTTCATCCTTGCTCAGTCCACGGGCCCAGGCAGGGTTATTCACAAACTTCCCTCTGAACCGATCTCTGCGCTTCTCTTTCAAGCTAGCGTATTCCCTCATGTTCTCTGGGGCTTTGGTTTCCTTGTTGGTTTCATGGCGATACCACCAGTCCTGGGTACCTGGCTCGTACAGAATGTTATAGCTGTTAGCGCAAATGCGTATGACTAGGCCGTCGTGATGAACAAGTGGCTTGTAAAAGTTGTTATATTCTTCATCCGAGTCCATCTTAGGAGGCAAGTTGCGTTTCAAGAAAGGCATGCGCATGTCCGAGAAGAGAACTCCCTCAGTGGGATCGCGCATCGTATATGCAGAAACGTAGTAGGACCATCGAGCTTCATGGCCCAGGCCGTCACTTTCCAGTGTACTCTGATCTGGAGTCAAAAGCTGGACCAAGACATGTTTCGAAGCAGGGACCTGGAGACCAACAAGTTAGTACCTATTCGCAGTTGGAAGCAGAATTATGGATTCTTACAAATGTGACTCGATAGATATCTCCTTCCTTGATCAATCGTTCCACCTGTTTGCGATACTGGAGCTCTTGGTTATGAGTTGTCTCCTCTTTCTCGCGCTCTTTGTAGAACAGGTTGATAACATCTGAGCTTCGGTCCTTAACATCACCATTGAACACGCCAGCAGCGTACTTCGCAATACCACCCATGATTCTATCAAGCTGGTAGAGTTGCCATCCGTTCTTCATGTAGAAGCGGCGCAGGGTTTCCTCGAGATGCGTTAGTTCTAAATTACCGGTAATCGCCTCTTCACACATGCGGATGATCTGGTGGTACAAGTTTGCCTTGGGGTCGGTGTCATAAAGTAGATCAGCGGGCGTCTTATCAATCATTCCCAGCTCCAAAGCGGCCTTGGGTGCCATAGCACGACGAACGGCCTCATGGGCTTCCTTTTCATACTGCTTCACATTCAACAGCCGACGATAAAGAATTTCAAAGGTATATAGGAAGCAGTAGATGGTAAGATTGCAGTAGAAATGGTGGACTTTCTTCTTGTAGGGCTCGTTGAGCGGGTATTCCCGCTTGTGATGGAAGTTTCCGCGAGTAGGATGGTCCATCCATCGAAGCTCGGCGATATCAAAGTTATCGCCTGAACGAGGCGCGGGTGTGGAATCGTTCATCGACAGAGGAGTCGATGCTCGACTTGCGGCTGTGGATCCGGCCCTGAGGTCAAGTTCGGGCCTGTTAGACCGATCTGGGCATCTGTTGAGAACCTCGCGCAGAAGCTCGAATTTCTTCCCGCTTGTGATGCGCTTTGGTCGTATGGGAGCTTCGTCTGGCAAGCTATCATCGTCAGCATCCTCGCTTGCCGACGAACTGTCATACACCTCTGAGAGGTAATTCTTGAAGGCTTCCCGATCAATTCCGAAAAAGACAGGAATGAAGTCCTTGATAAAAGCCATAACGCGCTGCGGATCAGCACCAAAGCCAGCGGAGCTGTGGTCGAGATAGCAGAGCAGCAGATGGGTAGCATCAAGAACCACTTCAGAGTCCTCGAAGGCAAAGTCCATCTGGTAATTGGAGACATGGACTCCAGTCCTACGACGATTCCGGCCTTCTTCAAACTTCGTCTGAATCTCATGCTGGATATGTTTGCTCAAGAACACCTTCTTGTCGTTGCCTTTCATGATGATAGCCTGGTGATCTAAACTGCGCCAGAAACCCTTCTGCATCTGTTCTCGCCACACCTTATCCCATTCACGCTATATTTCGTCAGTATCAAGCTTTTATACAAGTTTAATTAGAGCTTAGAGGAAGGAGTAACCGTACCTGAGTTGCTTTCCATTCTTCGCATTTCTGTTTCAGCCGGGCAAGCACGATCGGCAGCACGAGACAAGGCCGGTTAAACATCTCTTCGATGACTCGCTGGCCGGGTTCGCGATCGTATATCTTCTTGATAACCCGTCGGTAGATAGTCTCACTCTGACCTCCAAGGCCGGGCGGCAGCTTGAACGACGACCTATCACTGTCACTCATAAGTGAAATCTGTTGCACCAGGGGTTCCAGAAGCTGAATAGTGCGGATGCAGGCTTCGATGTGGTGGTCATAGTCGTGACGGTCTTCTTCGATACGGTGCAGAGCATCTTCGTACTGGTTCTTGCGATGGGCAACAAATCCGGAGTCCTCAGAAGCCCATGTCGGATGAGAGGCCCAGTCATCGTTCAGTACGCTCCTACATAGCTCATCACGGCCGCTGCAAGCCTTTTGACGCTCACGCTTAGGTAGGAGACGATAACTTGGTCCCAGGGCACGACAGTGAGAGAGATTGACAGATCCAGAGTCAGGTTTGGCCTTGGGTTCGATTAGTTCGTCCTTAGGCTCGATATGCATGAATCGCTTGAACCAGGACATGATTTCCTGGTTTGCGCCGATGAAACCCGCGGCACGGTTGACGAGGACATTGCGATCAATCAGGTCCGCAGAGTAAAGGTTGCAGAGCTTGAGGAATTCTCCGAATGTTTGCTTGTTGCCGATGAATTTCTTCACCCGGTCGAAGAAGGCATATTCTTCGTGGGAGGGAGTGAGAGAGAAGCTTGGAGGTATCGGCTCAGGCAATGCAGGGACCAGAGTTGGTGAGATGGTAGGCTGATGAGCATCCGTTGCAGATGGCTTATGGCTCAATTTTGTTCTCTTGTTCATGCCGATCTGCTGGGGAGCATTCTTGTTCATCTGGGCACCATTCATGTCGCCAACTGCTGGCTGCATACCGGGCATTCCTCCACCGACGGCCTGGGCACCTGGAGCACCACGTCGCTTTTTGCTCTCCTTGGTTGAATCCTTGACGTTAAACTGTCCCAGCGGTGGCATCTTCACATCACTTCTTGCCAACTGAGGTTGTGGCAGACCTGCAGAGCTATAACCGGGTTCTCCACGTACATTGCTGATGACGGGCACTTCTTCCTGCGACTGGCGGGTTGAGGGTGTAGCTTGAGCTTTCGCCTGGGCTGCAGACTCTGGTAGGAATTGTTTAAAGTCTTCTAGGAGATCAGGAGCGGCGCCAAAGAGGTGAGTGACCTGGGTATAAACGTCTTGAATGGGCTTGGATTCGCGTTGGTATGTTTGCAGGATTTCAAGGAACTGTTTGTATATCTCGGGGGAGTCGGAGAAGCGATTCTGGGGAAGATAAAAGCGTCAGTGAAAATCAACGGCAATGAATGGCACATAACTTTGCAGGAATCTTAAATACCTTGATTTTATTAACGTAACTTATGGCATGGTTAAACTCAACAGGTCCACGCTTCGAAGCATCAACTTGGCCGGGTATAACACCCGACGGGCCCATACCAGTGGCCATTGAGCCGATAGGCTGTGATGGGCCGGGTGTATGAGAACCCGGTGGAAGCTGCATCATCGGCTGCCGACTTGCACCGGAGGCGACCGATACAGCATTCTGCAACTGCGAAACTCCTCGTTGCTCCTGCTGATGAACCATTGAGGTGGCCTCACTGGAAGCTTGTTGCTCATGCTGAGCCTGGTAGTCGTACTGTGTGTCCTGAGATGGGTTGTGTCTAGACTGCTGTTGTTGCCCGTACATGCCTGCGGCCATATGCTGCGACTTGGGCGAGTATGAGCCAGGCGCACCTGATGGATGGCCCGGCTGTGCCTGCTGCTGGGCATGACCATGCTGCCATGCGCTGCGAGGCTGGTCGTAGTATTCGGGACGTGAAGCTGGAGCGGATTGTACTGTAGGGCCGGCTCCTTCGGGGGCGCCTAACGAGGGTCTAGAACCTGACTGCATGGAGATGGTATTTGTGCCCGAGGGAGTGGTCACGCGGATCGCATCGGGGTTATCGTCCGTTCCGCATTCGATACGGTACCCGGGGGGTAGGAAGGTGTTGAATCCTTGGATCAGAGCAGGATGGCCGTTAAAGAGGGTCGAAACACGCTGGATGACGCCGGGTGTATCGATACTATAGGCTGTCAGTTTTGTGTATATTGTAATGTAGTCCGCATGTGACGCACGCTTGGCTTTTGAAATCCTTCATAATGTCAAGGAACCGGTTGTAGACTTCTGGCTGCTCGACGAAGCGGACCTTGACCTGGTCCAGATAGCTCAGCGCATCCTGTTTGTTAGGCGCCATTAGCAGGGATTCAAAATCAACTTCGACGTGTGCTTAGGTAGGGGAATTGAGTAAATAACGGAAAGAAAATTCGTAAAAAAAAAAAAAAAAGAGACGTAGGAAATAGTGCATATATGGTACAGGTGGAGCGGAATCTCAGTGAAATCAGTCCAGCCATGGAGTCATTCTCAGCACGGTGAATGAAATTCACGGGACATTCCATTTTCCAGTACTTCCCATCAGTTTGGACGGCTGACGAGGGCGACACATCGTTTTCATTGTGTGTATTTCATTCACGCAGGCAGAGCTACTTTTTGCAGGTAAAGAAAATGGGGTGGAAAGTAGGGGCAAACTTACGTTTAATATGGGTTGCTGGCCCTGTGCTAGAGCAGCAACACTGCCCGGAACCTGAGAAGGGCCCGAGTTGAAAGCGAGGACCGGCTGGGAGGGCTGGAGATACTGGCGTGGTGGCCCCTCGCTGTGTTGCATGGAGCTACCAAACAGGCTGGAAGGTGGGTTTGAAGCCTGAATAGAAGGCTGTGGCGCGTTAGTGGCCGTAGCCAGATTCGAGAGCAGGCCATTGGGTCCGTGGATCGAGCTTGGTACCTTTGAAGCAACTGGCTGATGGATGGGGATGGATCCCGTATGACTTTGAACCGGGTGTGGCTGTTGTTGTTGCTGCTGTGCCTGGGCCTGCTGCTGTTGATGCTGCTGTTCACGGTGATACCTGTCAGCCATCTCACGCTCTCGCTCGCGCATCTCGTTCTCTCGTTCCATCTCTCGCTCGAGTTCAAGCATTTCTATCTCCCTTTGGCGAGGTCTGCGATCCCGTTCACGCTCACGCTCGCGGTCATGACTTATCGACGACGGAGGGGAAGTGTGCTGGATCGTCTGGCCGATACCGGGCAATGTGTGACCTCGTCCTAGCGGCTGCTGCTGATGCGGACCATAGCGAGAAGCCTGCTGTTGCTGCTGTTGCTGCTGTTGCTGTTGTTGTTGTTGTTGTTGCTGCTGCTGCTGCTGCTGCTGATGTGACTGGGGCGCTGGAGGAGGAACAGAGGCGCCCTGCGTGAGATCTGCGAGCGTGGGGAGAGAATGGCCTGACTGGCTTGCGGAGTGATATGGGCCTGCAGAGGGCATCGTTAGTCGTATATAGCAAAGATAGGAGACAAAGCAAACAAGCGGCCGTACCTTGCGGCGGAGGAAGGGTACGCGACGGCTGTTTCGACGCCTGGTCATCCAACGGAGTGTTTTGCCTTTTTTTCCCCGAATGCGCAAAGCGCCGTCAGCTTGACATGTCATATTAAGCGTACAAAGCCACTGCTAGCAAGGCCAACAGCCACGATCAACAAGGGAAAGAGGAGAAATATACCCAAAAGCACCGACTGGGCGCGCGGACTGCTGGCCTAGCTGGTCTACATGGTGAGGCTGCGGGCCAGCACCCGGATGCCACCCATCTTTACCCGACGGATTCATACGGTTCAACACGCCGAGCAGCCGGGCCTCAACCAAGTGTCAACGAGAGGGCAGAGGGCACAACGGGAGCCGGATAGCGGTTATCGTCCTGGTACGCCGTCGACTGGAACGCAGCTCGACCAGCAGCGGGCCGGAAGAGTGAACTGGGCCAGCTCAGAACGAGTGGAGGGAGGGTCGCTTTCAGGGGCGAGCTGCGGCGCTGGACATGGGACGAGGCCGCCAGAATCGAGCGCCGGCAAGGCAGCAGGCTGGTCAGGCAATCGGCGGACTATCGAGCTCTGGGACTGCGAGCGCTGGGGGGGGCGGCAGGGCGACGGCGGTTGCTGCTGGTTTGTGTTTTCGGTGAGCCTGGAGGAAAAAGCTGGAGTAAGCGTCTGATGGTGTTTGCTTTCTCGCTGGATCTTCCTTTGGCAACGGAAAAACTCAAAAAAAAAAAAAAAAAAAAAAAAAGGAAGAAAAAAAGAAGCTGGACGAGAAGGGAAAGGCGGTGAGTTAGGTAAGCAGGCGACAAGAAGCGCCCGGGCGGCTTTTTTTCTGCCGGTCGCTAGGTCTGAAGGGGACTAGTGAGTACCTATAGTCACGTGAAGGGTATCTACGTCATCTCGCGTGACTTGATGACAAACATATGACTAATCAGGTACAGCTGAAGAAGCAGCAAAACAGCAGGCAGAGTAAGAAGACAGCAGGAATAACAGAGTAGAACAAGGGAAAAGTAGATGATATAGATCTTGTAGAGACAAGGTAGATAGATAGATAGAGAGGAGAATAGCATGAGACATAGATATCTGATGACAGTTAAATAGAGAATGCAGGTTGATGCCGTCGCGGGTTATTTCATCTGTGCTACCGGTGTCCAGCAGCTCAGCGGCCAGTCGCGTCTCGTGTTATTGCCCTTACCCTCCTGCTGAGCTATCCGCCGCCTCTGCTTCGTCTGCTTCATCGTCGCCGTCGCGTGTTAGGATCAGGTTACATCCACGTGACTCGCGATCTCAGAAAATCACATGCGTCCCGTCCCAGCGGCTTCATTATGTATTTCACATGCGAGAGAGGCAGCTAACCAACGACGCCCTCCCCGCCTGTCCACTCGCACGATAGGCTCCCAGCAAGCCAGCCAGCCTGCCTGCGTCTCCCGCCCGCTCCATCGTCCGGCTGTTTTGCTGCCCGCCCGTCGTGGATCGTTTCAAAAACTTGCTGGCGCTTTTTCAACGCAAAGACTCTGGGGAAGCAACGCCAAGACTACGCCAAGACGATCCGGGGTAGCTGCGGGCCGCCGTTGTTCCGAGATTATGCTTACATGTGCTGCCCTCTGATTGGCCAGGATAGAGCTCGACCGGCTGAACCTCGGCTGGAGCTTCGGCGTTGCTCCTCCATATCGTTCGATCTTCGACTTTCCTTGATATCTCGACCTCGTTCTTCTTCCTCTTCCTCTTCTTCTCCTTTTCTACCTCGCCCACCACCTCCTTCTACCGCGCAGCATTCTCTCTCTCCTCATAACATCATACACTCTTGACCCTTTTGTTTTCTTTCTTGTTGCCTGTAATTCATCATGGCTCCCAGGGTTATTGTTGTCGGTGGTGGATGTAAGTTGTCCCTCACCAGGTACCACAGCAACGGCCGCGACAGGATGAAACTGACTGACCGACTTGCTTCACAGTGTCTGGCCTCAGTGCTGCCCACACAGTCTACCTCAACGGAGGCAACGTCTTGCTTTTGGATAAACAGAGTGAGTTTTGAGTCCTTCTTTGCGCAGTTCGTGGTGGTGGACTCTAGCTGATCATAGTCCAGACTTCTTTGGAGGAAACTCGACCAAGGCCACCTCTGGTATCAACGGAGCCCTCACTCGCACCCAGGTCGATCTCGGTATCCAGGACAGCGTCAAGCAGTTCTACGAGGACACGCTCAAGTCTGCCAGAGACAAGGCCCGCCCTGAACTCATAAAGGTCCTCACATACAAGTCGGCCGCCGCCGTCGAGTGGCTGCAGGATGTCTTCAACCTCGATCTGACCCTTGTATCTCGACTTGGGTACGTCTCTACACTTTAGAAACTGTGAATGAAAGGATTACTGACAGTAGCAGTGGACACTCGTTCCCCCGAACACACCGTGGCCATGATGCCAAGTTCCCCGGCATGGCCATCACCTACGCTCTGATGCAGCGCCTTGAGGAGCTTACCGAGAAGGACCCGGAGCGCATGAAGGTCCTCAAGAAGGCTAGAGTGGTTGCCGTCAACAAGGAAGGTAATCAGGTCACTGGTGTTACATACGAGTACAACGGCCAGACTCACACTGAAGAGGGTGTTGTCGTCCTGGCTACTGGTGGTTACGCTGCCGATTTCACCGAGACCTCTCTCCTGAAGAAATGGCGACCAGACACCATTGGCCTGTCCAGTACCAACGGTGTCCATGCCACCGGTGACGGCCAGAAGATGCTGATGGCCATTGGTGCCAATGGTATCGATATGGACAAGGTCCAGGTCCACCCTACCGGTCTCATTGACCCCAAGGATCCAGGCTCCAAGTGGAAGTTCCTTGCTGCTGAGGGTAGGCCTATATTATTATACAAAGAAAAGTTGTGAACTAGATGCTAACTTGTCCAATCTAGCACTCCGTGGTGAGGGCGGTATCCTGTTGAACTCGGACGGTGAGCGATTCGCCGACGAGCTCGGCCACCGTGACTACGTCTCCGGCCAGATGTGGAAGGAGAAGGAGAAGAAGAAGTGGCCTATCCGCCTTGTGCTCAACAGCAAGGCCTCCAACATCCTCGACTTCCACACCCGCCACTACTCCGGCCGTGGACTGATGAAGAAGATGACCGGCGCTGAGCTCGCCAAAGAAATCGGCTGCGGCGAGGCTGCCCTCCGCAAGACCTTCGACGATTACAACGCTATCGGCGAGGGCAAGAAGCCCGACCCATGGGGCAAGAAGTTCTTCCACAACCTGCCCATGAAGGTCGAAGATACCTTCTACGTTGCGCTGATGGAGCCCGTGCTGCACTTCACCATGGGCGGTATCGAGATCAACGACAAGGCCCAGGTGCTCAACAGCGAGAAGAAACCCTTTGACGGCCTGTTCGCCTGCGGTGAGCTCGCCGGTGGTGTCCACGGCGCCAACCGCCTCGGTGGATCCTCTCTGCTCGGCTGTGTCGTCTACGGCCGTGTTGCCGGCGACTCTGCCAGCCAGTACCTGTTCCAGCAGCTGCTCAAGAACCCTGCTGCGTCGTCTGCTGCCGGCGGTGCACAACAGCGCCTGAACCAGATATCCCTGCACATCGACCCCAACCAGCCCGGCAAGGTATCTGTCGAATGGAGTGCCCCGTCAGGTAAGCCCTGCAACACCCAATCCCTCGTTACCCCAAGCACAACAGCCTCAGCCTCGACCTCGGCGTCTCCCACGTCGTCGTCGTCGTCTGCTCCAGCCGCCTCTTCGGGGGCTGGCGCTGGTGCTACCTCTGCCGGTCCTGAGCCCGTCGCCGCTGATGTAGCAAACTTCAAGGTGCCCGAGAAGGAGTTCACGATGGAGGAAGTGGCGAAACACAATAAGAAAGACGACCTCTGGATCGTGGTCAAGGGTGTGGTGATGGATGTGACGAACTGGTTGGACGAGCACCCTGGCGGTGCGCAGGCCCTGTTCAGCCATATGGGCCGAGATGCCACTGAGGGTAAGTCTTCTCTTCACTCTACTTATCTATCAAACTAACATTATTTCTAGAATTCGAGATGCTTCACGACGACGAGGTTATTCCCAAGTACGCTGCCGGTATCGTCATTGGTCGTGTCAAGGGCCAGACACCCAGCCTGGAATACTAAGCCTTGCACACACTTGTTGTATATACGCATCTACGTCTTTCCCGTGTCTTGTCTCTCCTGTTTGTCTCTTATATCCCGCATCACAGGTGTACTTTTACGACCGATCTATCAAGAAATTTATTTCAACTATATGCCATACATATATCGTACATGTTCACGTAAAGCAAGCAAGCTCAATTATATGCTCTTCTTCTCCTTTAAATGCGCCAACACCATCCTCAGGCGTGCCACAGCGGGCCCATCCCCAACTGCAGCCCCCTTTTCCCCCTTTTCAAGCTTCTCCTGCACTTCCTGCCTCGCCTCTTCCACAGCAGGCTTGAGAGAACCCCATACCACGTCTTGATACTCCCGGTCTAGGTCCAACCACTCCGCTACACCGGGCAAGTCACGCAGATGCTCTACCTGAGACTGGGCCGGAATACCACGTAATGAAGCAAGAACAAAGTCAATGTCTGGTATTAGAGAGGTAGAGGATATGTCGTGTTGTTGCTGTCCGTTCTGGTTCGTCGTAAGAAAGCTCATGTCTGGCTCTGGCTGTGGTTCGTCTGGGTCCATATCCGGAAGAGACGACGGGTCAAAGGTGGCAGACGACAGCAGATCCGAAACAGCCTGGCCGTCTCTCCGCTCTTGTTCCGTGACTGCAGAGGGAATAGTATTGGAAGAAGCAGATTTCCAAGCAGAATCGAACCGTTCATCTCCCATATGCACTTCTCTGCCTTTCCCCTTGGAGGTAGATGTAGATATATAGTCGGTACCAGCACCACCAGAGGTATCACTATTAACAGGCAAATTTCCCTGCTGAAACTCCCTCTCCTGGTCTAGCAAGCTCGACTGCATCTCCTGCGAAGACTGTGACCGAAAAGCGGAGTCTGGCTGCGTAGACGATGAGCCGTGGTATATCCCGCCCTCTACAGCTGCTCCTGGTCCGGCTGCCGAAGAAGCACCACCGGGCCTTTTCAGAGCTAGAAACGCCCGCCAGCGAAGAGACACATCTCTAGCAAAGGCGTAGGAGCCCGCTGGAGTCGAAGCGGAGGCGTAATGGCTGATTTCA